GTTTCCATTGCCACTCAAGAGGAAACTTTGCCATCAGCCGAACCAATGTCCGACCATCCCCGACCTCCTCCGAGTGGTTATACAAATAATCCACGACCGCATCAGTAAGGGGCTTCACGATGAAGTACCTTTCTTTGAAGTTTCATACAGATTCCAGGTACGATCGGAAGAGTTTCCTGAATTACTTAAATGACACCCATGCCTGTCGTCCGTCAATGGTCTACCGTTGGAGGTGGAAGATATGAAAGAAAAGATGCAAAGTGGCACATATATGAAGGTACTGACAGATGAGATCAAATGCCCGCATTGAAAACCCCCCACCTGGAAGTATGTGAAGGAAAAACATACCATCACTTCCTTAAAAGCAAATTCGTACATAGGAAAGTGTTTGTCCGGGAAAGACGAGCACATCTTCCGACTTTGGTGAGGGATTTGGAGTGTCGAGTTGGAAGAGGCATCTTCTGCTCTGTCCTCGGGGACATTGAATGCGTCAGAAGCATCCTTCACAAAACATGATTCCTTATTTCGGGGTTCGGGTGCAACCCAAGCCAGGGGGTCGATCGCGACCTCAACTTCACTCCCATCGGTGGCGGGCACAATATTTCCTCGACTGGTTGTGACATTGTACCTGTAAAGCAGGGGAAATAGTGAATTTGACATCATCAAATTCACCCTTCCACCGTAAATCAAGTGAAAGGGCGATGAACGCCTCGAGGAATGGTCCTCGACCCAAGCCCTCGACAACGAACGTGAAGATATCTACACTCTCACACCGGGACATTTTGTCAAAAGGGAAACCTGCACAAATCATCCCCGCTCGAAAGGGGGGACGACCCTGACGCATGTCGAGATGAAACTCACTAAGAGCTCATGAATCTCATCCGTATTCATGAACCCAAATGAAGTTCATGAATCTTCATCCCATAATCCATGAGTATTCTTCTTGAATCCATAAATCTTCATCATGAGATTCATCCACTCATAGCAAGATTCACGCGTTTGATCTGGAAAATTAAGAAAAATCACACTTAAAGATGAAATTACTTACTTTGAGGAGATAAACATGAAGACGTCTATGACGATGTTTGAGCAACAAGATAACAGGAGAACACCAGAGAAATAGAAAGAGAGAGCTTGAAATGTCAAGTGAATCTTTGATTCTCCTTTTTATAGATAGTCCCATCACACGAGGTAGCGTGTGAAAAGTCATTATTACTTAGACTCTTAGACTTCCCTAGGCAATGATGACATTCTAAACAACTGCCACATGTGACTCACTAGAGGACGTGTCACTGACAAGAGTCTCACATGCAAAATCATGCGCCTATGTCGTTCCATCCTCATTGGAAAATGAACGCTCGACATTATTATAACGTCTTACATACGGGCACATCAAAGACACACGCCCGAGGAAACTCCTCACCTCCCCACGAATATAGATTCCTAACGAACACCGCATTAATATGAGCGAAGGACGAAGTCGACCAATGAAATTCTCCCAGAGTTAGTCGACCACACCATGCATAAATTCCTGAATCCTCCTCGACATGAATCACAGAGCCGTCCCCGACGGGAGTTGACAATTTCCCCTCTCGGGAAACACTTCCCTGACACTTGAATTAACCTCAAGTCACCGCCCTTTCGCCTAAGGGAAATAACTTTTAGGGCTCCTGTTATAGACTGAGACGACACTTGTCCCACCATTGGGGAGGCCCAATTCGGTGCCTCTGTCTATGGCCCAATAGCTTCAGGTCCAAGTCAGGTAACCATTGGGGATTTCCCCCACGTGCTCATTGGAGAACATATCCCTTAGTCATCGTCAACCACCACTTGCCCTCCGAGAATAACGAGTCCACTGTCCGTATATTCCCGGGGCGCTTTACTAGGGAGGGGGCCACGTGCTGGACCCTACTACCCACGTAAACCCTGGTAGTCCTTGCTATTGAGTCCAAATCACTTGGCTCAATACATGGATCTTGGTCTAACGCCGGAGGCTATAAATACCCTCTCACATGAGAGGGTTGAATATTCATTCATTCTACCTTACTTTTGTTACTTGCACTCTGATTGTCTAGACTCTTACTTTAACATCTGAGTATCTTGCAGGTACCCCGCACTTCACATTCAACCGCTGTTCAACTTAAAGTTCGTGGACCTTGACGATCCCTTCTGATTAGGTACGATCATATAACACCATCATTTATGTGTAAGTACAAATTGCTTATTAAAAAAACCCATCATTTATGTGTAAGTTGTTATTCATCAAAATGTAATTATTTAGAACTGATGGTTGATACTCATTTGGTTGATCAAAATATACAAAATAAATCATATTAAATAATTAAAAATTAAAAATGTGAGTTTGTATCATATATAATAACTATAATATTGATTTATAAAAAATATTATTGATAAATTAAATAATGACCTAGTTTGTTAACTCAAAAAAGTGGGTGGTTAAATCTTTGTTAAATAAAATAATGGTATAAAAATATGGATAAATTTATAATAATAATAATAATAATAATAATAATAATAATAATAATTATTATTATTATTATTATTGTTATTATTATAAATAATGAATTAATGTAATATATCATAATATTAAATAAACAAAAGAATAGTAAATAATTTTAATATCAAAATAAAATATAACACACAAAATAGAAATACATATAAATAGTTTATTTCATTCACATATATATAGTTTTATACATATAATTTGTTAAATAGATATCACTATCATTCATGTGTAAGTCGTTATTCATCAAAATAGAATTATTTAGAATTTATGATTGATATTCAATTATTCATTGATCAAAATCTATAAAATAAATTATATTAAATAATTAAAAATGTGAATTTGTATAATATATAATAACTATAACGTAGATGTATAAAGGATATTGTTGATAAATTAAATAATGATCCATGTTTGTTAACTCAAAAAATGTGGGTGGTTAATTTTTGTTAAATTAAATAATGGTATAAAATATGGATAAATTTGTGAACGCTTAAGAAAGAATGGAAAAAATTTAATGGGATAGAGTAGTTACTATATTGATTAATTAATATATATTAATTTTTAATAAATAATTAATAAAATAAATTAAATAATGATCTAAAATATGAGTAAACATTTGTTAAATAATGACCTAGTTTGTTAACTCAAAAAACGTGGGTGATTAAACTTTTGTTAAATAAAAGAATGATATAAAAATATGGATAAATTTATAATAATAATAATAATAATAATAATAATAATAATAATAATAATTATTGTTATTATAATAAATAATGAATTAATGTAATATATTATAATATAAATAAACAAAAAATAGTATACAATTTTAATATCAAAATAAAATATAATATACAAAATAGAAATACATATAAATAGTTTATTTCATTCACATATATATAATTTTTTTAAATAGATATCACTATCATTCATGTGTAAGTTGTTATTCATCAAAGTAGGATTATTTAGAATTTATAGTTGATTTTCAATTATTCATTAGTTGGTTGATCAAAATCTATAAAATAAATCATATTAAATAATTAAAAATTAAAAATGTGAGTTTGTATCATGTATAATAACTATAATATAGATGTATAAAAAATATTATTGATAAATTAAATAATGACCTAGTTTGTTAACTCAAAAAACGTGGATGGTAAATTCTTATTAAATTAAATCATGATATAAAAATATGAATAAATTTGTGAATGGTTAAGAAAGAATGGAAAAAAGTTAATGGAATAGAGTAGTTACTATATTATTTAATTAATATATTAAATTTTAATAAATAACTAATAAAATAAAATAAAAATATACAATTATTAAAAGAATATTAATTTTAGCTATAAAAGTTTCTCAAGAGACTTAATATCTTTAATATATAAGAAAAAATGAAAAAAAATTAATGGAATAGAGTAGTTATTATATTATTTAATTAATAAATTAATTTTTATTAAATAACTAATAAAACAAAATAAATTGAAAATGTACAATTATTAAAAGAATCTTAATTTTAGTATTTAATAACATTAATATATAAGATTGGTCTAGAGGTAAAAGCATGTGGCTAAAAGGTCTCCAATTTTATTCCTTGATTCTTTCTAGTAGCAAAGTTTTTTTTTTTTTTTTTTATATTTTCAAATCTAAATTATTTAAAAATAAAATTAAAATAAAAATCAATTTAACTTTTAAAAAATGAGAAATAAAAATTAAATCTTACATGAGTTCAATCACAATTTAAAAATAAAAAACTAATTAAAAAAAATTAAAATAAAAATTAATACGACCTAATTAAATTTTATAATAGATTAAACTGAGACCTTTTTATTAATAAGTTACTTCTAATTTTAAATTAATGAGACATATGAAATATAATTTAAGATCCTTTTGTTATATATTTTAAAATTTTGATTTCTTTTTTGTATTTTCAAAAATAATTTTTATGATTTTTTCAAAATGATAGAAATTATATTATGGATTAAAAAGTTAATTTTGATATTTTGTAACATAAATTTATTATTAAAGATTAAAAGATATTTAAATCACATAATTCTTAAAAAATAACTCAAATATAACTTTTAGAAATGTCATTCAAAAGAGTTTTAATTTTAAGTGATTTTTTAAGATAAAAAATTATAACAAAAAGAAAAAAAAACTAAAATAAATTTTATAAAAAAATGACCTAAATCAATTATTTATATAATTTTATTTTTAAAGTTTTTTGTAATTGTAATTGTTGTTTACAAAATTATATAGTTATAGAAATTATCATTTAAAAAAAATGAAAAACAAATCGATCATAAATTAATTGAATCAATTGAACTAGGTCAATTACAAAAATCAACAAAGTCCCAACCTTGAAAGAACAACATAGGTGGTGGTGACTTTGTTCCCTCTTCCTCTCTCTTCTTCTTCTTGTTCCAACAATTTCCCAATCAAATCAAAATCAACTCTTTCTCTTCATCTTCTCTCTCTAATGGTTCTTCTTCAAGCTTCCAAGTTAACCCTTCCAACCCCATCATCTTCTCTCTCTTCCCCAACTTCCATTCTCTTTGAACCCACTACTCTTTCCCTTGCAATCACTCACTCCAACTCATCAATTTCTCTTTTCCCTTCTTTCTCACCTCTCTCTCTTTCTTCCTCTCTTCAATTCCCACAAACCCTAATTCCTAAACCTTCTTCTTCTTCCACTTTTCTAATTCTGAAAGAATCCCCAAATTCCACAAACCCTAATTCTGTTATCTTTCTTGTTTGTGGACCCTACCGTGCTGGGTCTCAAATTCTCCTCCGGTTCTACATTCTTAATAGAATCACCAACTGTTTTTCTAGGGTTAATCGTATTTCATGTGGGTCACAATCACAAAGTGGGTTTCTTAGGTTTGAACGTGAATTAGGGGTTTTGATGGATGTGAAACATGGGGTTTCTGTTGAGGTTGTTGGTTCGGTGAACTATTTTGCGGTTTATGCGGTTTCGAGTTTTAAAGTTTGGGTTTTTGCTGTTAAGATGGTGGAGGGTGAAGATGGTGGTGGTTTGAGATTGATGAAGTGTGCGGTGATTCGGTGTTCGAGACCGGTTTGGTCTTTGAGTATTTCGTTTGGGTTTTTGGTTCTTGGAGAAGAGAATGGGGTTAGGGTTTTTGGGTTGAGGAGGTTGGTGAAAGGGAAAATGGTTGTTAAGAAGAATTCGAATTCTAAATTGAAGCAATTGCCAAATGGTGATCATCATGGGAAGTATAAAGGTGGGGGAGATCTAGGAGGGAAAACCCGTGGTGGTGATGAGGCAACCTGCAATGGTGGATTGGAGGGGAAGAATGAAAAGCATGGAGTTGCTGGTAGGTACTTATTTAACTTTTTGGTACATTATTAGTGGTTGGTGATGGGCATGTTATATATGTTACATGGTGCTTGCTTTGATTGAAGTATGGATATTGACCTCAGCTATTTTTCTGTTTGAATTTAAAATTGTAACTGTTTATTCATTGATTTGTTCTGTTCTGTTTGTAACTGTTATTTAGAGTGTTAGTAAGTTGGCTGATTGAAAAGTTAGATGAAATAAGGGATATTGGCTATATTATTAAATAAGATAAGGGGTTTTGAGGGAGAGTATCTTGTCATTTGAGAGAGAATTAGGGCATCTGGGATAGGGATGTGCCAATGAAGCACGGACTCTAACACGAACACCTGGACTCGACTCTGACCCTGACCCTCTGACACTGATAATGTAAAATATATATGATAGTATTTGAGTTTCATTTATCTATCTATTATTTAAAGAGTTAAGAATAATCTAATTAAAATTTATATCTTTAATTCCTATAGTGGCTTTAGAGTAGGCCGGAATTCTTATATTGGACAAAAATGATAAGGTACTATATATGAGATTTCTGCTAACCGGGATATGGGTTCAAATAAAAGAGTCTGTCATTTGTTTGAATTTCTTGTTTGACAATTGGAATCTCTAGCTAGCTAATTGGACATATACTTTTTTTTTTATCTCCCTAAATTTTCATAGGAATCCCGTGGTCTTGATGCTTAATTCTCTGCATAGTTGTTGTCTGTTTTGTATATTATTTAATTTATGTATTTTCACTCTCAGTAAAGCAAACAAATGTTAAATATAAACATGATAACAAAGATGGAGGTGCATGCTTTTTGGCATTGAAGGGAAACGAGGTTGAAACAAAGTCCATGCCAACGGTATCCAAATCTGTAAAGGCTATTTCCATTAAGGCTCTCTCCCAGAGGATGTTTCTGATCTTGGACTCCCATGGGGATTTACATTTGCTATGCCTGTACAATTCTGGCCTTGGAGTAGATATCACCGGTCATGTGAAGCAGCTGCCTCGTGTTATGAAAGTGCAAAGTCTGGCTGTTCATCTCGATGAATCTACAAGTTAGTCTCACTTTCTTTATCCTATTTAATATTATTCAAAATTTAGTTTATTCATTTTCTCTCTGAACTAAAGTTTTCTTATTATCCAGCAGCATCACAGACTATCTGGATATCAGATGGATGCCATTCTGTGCACATGTTCACGATGGACACGGAGAATGCTTTAAATGAAGCAGATGGAAATGATGGTGATGAAAAGCCTATGCATCTCCCAGGTTTTCGAACTTATTTTTACTTAATTGGTTAAATTATTTATTAAACCCTAATTCTCAAAGTTGCTTTACACGTGTCTAATCTGTATGGTGGAGTGTGAAATAGTCATGGTTTCCGCTAACAAGTGACGTTGCAGCTCAATTTTTCAATTAACCAAAGTAAATAAATTTTGTCTTGAATATTCTTTTAGTCCTTGCAAATATCTTACTGTTTTCTGTTGAGTCCTGCATTTTTTATTTTTTTCAACTGTGATGTTCAATTTCAATCTGTTCATTTTTGTCCCATGCCATCAGTGGATGAAACGTTGACATGGGTGTTAGAACTCAATATGGCACTGCCCGATGAGATAATTGATCACATGTGCCGGATGGAGTTCCATTAGCTATGCTAGTGTTTTGTAAAAGCCGCCGATTGCTGAGACAAAAAATGGATGGTTTGAACATTACACAGATGAAAGCTAAAAAACAAATTTATAGGAAACAAGATCCGAATGGAGATGTTTGAAGGGACAAAAAGAATATTGAAGCCTTACAATACTTATTTAATTCCTTTTTAATTCGGCATACCAATGCTTATTTGCCCTGCAAAGTGTTGACTGCATCTTTATCTAACTTTCCTCTATTGTTTGATAAATTGTCACGAAAGTGCCTTTTGGGAGCTTCTGTCTCCATTCTCAATTTTCTTCATAATCTAAGTATCTTCTCGCTGTTTCAGTTACTGAAGTTCTTTTCTCTAGTGAGAAGATTCAAGATATCATTTCTATATCTGCAAACTCTATTCTGATTCTTGGACAAGGTAATGTTTATTTTTCTTTCTGTGCGTGACTTGATATTCAATTCTACATACAAGGACATTCTTGCATATTTTCTTTCCTCCAAAAAACCAAATCAAAATAGAACGAAAAGGACAAAACAAAATAAGTAACAAGTCAGAGTGAAGTATTTATAGAATTTTATTATGCCTTTGGCGTAGCACCTATAGTAGAAAAGATTGTGGAAACTAGAATTTTAGGTGGTTTGGGCATGTAGAAGAGTAGATCAGATGGATGGTAGTTAAAATGATAGAGGTAGAAGAAGATTTAGAAAAACTAGAAGAGAAACTATTAAATAAGATCTCATATATTAATGAGTTAGATAGAAGAATGGTTCTTGATTTAACATTACGGCGCAGTTTGATCCATGCAGCCAATCCCAATTAGTGGAAAAAGACTTGGTTATTGTTGTTGTTGTTGTTTACCGGTTAGTATATTTTTCTGTTCAACAGGAAGCTTATATGCACATGCAATTTCCTGAAGTTGCTTCAGTTTTTCATATCTTTCATCTGGTAAGCACTTTTATCATTATGTGTTCTCATTGATCTGTGTCTTTTACGCTGCTACAAAGTTTTGATTTAAGCTCCGTTCGTAGGAAATCAATCATCTTGGCTACCTTGACGTTCTAATGCATATACTTGTGTGATTCCAGGATACTTAATCTTTCATAGTAAGTGTTTCACTAATCCAAATACATTTATTTTTGTAACAGCGAAATGTTTCATTAGATGATCTAACTTATATTTTTCTATACATTTATTCCCATCATTAATTATGTGAATAACCTTGTTGCTGGTTTGTCCTTAATTCTTGAGTTAGGTCCTCTGGTTGCCTCACCATGTAGTGCATCCTTAAGATACCGGAAATCTTGAAAGGTATGTAAATTTTTCGGATTGCCTCGGTTTGTGAGTTGTTTTGAAGTATGTATGTGGCTCCTCGGAGTGTAGCATATGTTAACAAGGTTTTGATTGTGAACTAAGTCATCAATTCTTGATTGTTTTAGATTTTTATCGGGTTCATGGGATTGGTTAAATATCCTCGTGGTCGAAAACTCTGGTGCTGCGATATTCAACAGCTTAATGTCAACTGTCCTGCAAAACCTGACGCAGCAAACAGCAAGATTACTTGATTCACCGGAAATGTTATTGTTTAGCCTACATGTTTAATGGTAATCTTGTGGAGATTTGGCTAAAATCATGGTTTTCTAGTCGAAGAACTGAGCAGGGTTTTGATATAGAAAGCATGATCTTGGCAATATCGCTGCTATGCTTGTTGGAGTAGCATTTATTTGGTTGCAGTTTTATTCGTTCTAGCTTTGTTTGGTCATATTTATAAGAGTTTTATTTATTGTGGATGTAATAATTAAATTAATATGCTGATGGCCTACTATGGACATGTGTGGATCGAGTTATTTGAGTTTATCAAGTAGGCATATGTTTGTGACATTTTTTTATTAAATTTTGAGTTTTTTTTTTTTATATAAATTCTTCATGATAACTTGTGAAAATTAGCTGTCAAAATGTTTTTATTATTGTATGTACAAAATTTGAAAATAAAAAAAAAAACTATTTTAAGCAAGCAAAATGGTACACAAGAAACATGATTGTAGAGAAAGAAGTCTCAACTAAATTGCATTTGGATTTTAAGATCATACACCAATCCATTGATCAAATATGAAAAACAATACAAATGAAACATTTTTGGTTTTTAAAATATACCATTTTTGCTTTGTTTTATTTTATCAATTTGTTCAAAAAACTAGAATAATAAATACTTATTAACTAGTTGATATTAATAATCATTTTTTACTAGAGTAACTATACAAGAAAAGAGTAAGACTTTTGTTTTTTTTGGAATATTAATAAAAAATAGAGTAAACATAAGAACATGAGCAAAAGACAAAGAGTATCTAGAGTTGGCAAAGTGACAATGATAATTATCTAGTAATTTAGGACAAGATGTATGAGTGCTAATGAGTGCGGTTTGAGTGTTAAAAAGTCATCTTAATCGTAAAAGAAAAAATGTGTTGTTTTGTTTACTTTGATTGGATTAAAAAAAAAAATTAAATTAAATTAAATCAATGCGGTTTAGTTCGGTTTGATTGATTATTTTTTTATAAATATTTTATTAAATCATATGTACACATATTTATGATAACATAACTTTATATTTAATCATTCATATACTATTAAATAACAATAAAATTTATTATATTTAAATAATAATTTTTCATTTAATATGTAAAAATCAGATTAGATAAAAGTAAAATAATAAATATAAATTAATAGTATAAGATAATATAAAAAATATTATAATAAAAAATAAAATAAAAGAGAGGATAGATTAGTAAAGATGAAAAAGAAAGAATATAAGATATGAGAGATTAGAGAAGAAGATGTCCGATAAAAACTGTTCCGGATCGGGCCTGCTCTTGGTCCAAGTTCATGTGAGACCCAACTCAACTATGTTGTTTATGATCAGCTGACCGGATCTGTCCTTGACTGTGTTGAGCAATAACCCTCACTCTTCGAGAGGATGCTGATTCGCCACATGAGGATAGACCCAGGAAGATGCGAAAAAGAGCATCACCGGGCAAGAGGACCTCGAGAGTATCCTCCAGGCTTCTCCTCGAGTAAGACATATCCTCCCATACGACTTCATGGATGGCGGGGATCCCGCGCGACGGGCATAAGTACTCCATGGGCATCCTCCTCGTAGGGCTGACTATCAACGCCTCCGAATATCATGGAGTCCACTTGATCCCGAAAAGACCGCATCCATATCCTCCTGGTCATGCGGACGAATCCATCCAGGTAGGGAACCACATGCTGGTCTCCACTACTCACGTAGAACCTGTCAGTCTCCTCTTTGGGCCGACTTGCCCAATCCAATGAGGGGACCTTGGCCCAACGTTGGAGACTATAAATACCCTCTCACTTGAGATGGTCACGTATTGATCATTTCTTACTCAGTCTTATTTACTTGCATTATTCCGAATCTCACTTTGACATCAGAGTGTCTTACAGGTACTCCCACCCCACTTTCAACTTCTGTTCGACGTAAGCTGTGTGGTCAGGTATGATCAAAAATGAAATTGAAAGAGAGAAAAATTGCATAAAATTAAAAAGGTGAAAAAGAAATAATATAAAAGAGTAGAGATTAGAGAAAAAGTGACAAGATGTACGCGGCGAAGAAGGTGAGATAATTCTATGAAAGATTTGAGAAGATTGAAACTCAAATCCTAAATTTAAGGAAGAAAAAATATTTTGTAATCGTAAGACTAAGATATAATAGGTATAAAATATTAGTTAATAAAATTATTAAGTTGGTTAATCAGACAATTTTACATAAGTATCCTTTAATCTAAAAATAAATATAATTTTTTATATTTTTTTAAAAATTATTTATTATTATAATATTTCACTGTTCACCGTATTAATTAACAGTAGAAAGTAAAATACGGTGTAGGTGTAGAAATTAGTATCATCAAAATATCAATTATTTTGTCTAGAGGTGTTCAAAATCAAACCAACTCCAATAAAAAACCGCAAACTAAATCAAACTAAAATGAAACCAAAAAAATTAATCAACTTTGTTTTATAATTAAAAATTATTTTTAATATTTTATTAATCAACTTTAATATTGCATTAACAATATTTTACTTTTCATTAATAAATTTTATTTTACTGCTAAATTATTTTTAATATTTAGATATAATTAACAAACTTTATTATTTAATTAATCAATTTTTTATATTTTATTAATTAATTTTAATTTACTATTAAAAATTATTATATAATAATTATTTATAATATTGTTCACGATATTTTTTTATAAATATTTTTTTTATTAAAGAAAAATACTATTTATCGTATAAATAAATAGTTTAGAGATATAAGTATTGGTATATAATATTGGTGTCATCGTGCATAACTATTTTGTACAAATAGTTCTGGATAGCTCTTTTATCTCTAGAGATATTGTAGTTGAGAAGAAAAAAATCATGAAATTTAAATATGAAAAGTTTCGGAGTGATAGAAAAAGCAACGATAATGACTGATCACGTGGTTGTAGATATTATTCTCAAGGGTTTGCTTAATAAATGATACTCCCTCCTTTTTAAAATAAATAATAAATATTATATATTTGATTTTATTTGATTTTTTTTACCAGGTTTAAAGGTTAATTTTAGATCAAGTGTTCAATTCTCTTCTAATTACAGATTTGGAGATTGAATTAAAGTTCTCTCTATCAAATCGGACCAACTAATAATTAATTATATTTATTTGATATTTTTATTTATAAAATAAATTAAAATTATCAATTAAAAGATAAAATTGAAAAATAAAAATAAAAATTGTATTGAAAATAAAAAAATATTTATTTTAAGACAAATAATTTTTATAAATATAATATAATTTTAAAACAAAAGGAATAATGATTATCATCAACTTTTTTTTTTGAAGAAAAGCTATGAATCAGTTATATAATTAAAAAAATGCTTTTATTATAGGATATTATGTTATGAAAATTTGATTGGATCAAATTTTAATTATTTTTAATTATTTGTATAATAAACTATATTAATATCTTATTTTGTTGTTTTTATTATAAGTTAAATTAATTATTGGTTTAATAAGTTAAAAAAACATATTTAATGTTGAATTAGATTGGTATAATAATTAATAAGTATAATAACCTATATGTTATGAAATTAATAAGAAGTTATATAATAGAAGAGTAGAGACGAATGAGAGAAAAAGAAGAGAGGAAATATGATTGTATTATTTTCTTTTAATTAGTGTAGATTTTAAACACAATATGAGTCATATTTATAGAACATATGTAATATAGAAAATCAATTGAAATCTTCTAATTGAGGGACATTCATAATCATGCTATTTATAACACTCCCCTTGGATATTCACAAAGATTATGCCTCATTAAAACCTTACTAAAAACTCTCGTTGAAAAAATTCAAGTGAAGGAAAAAGAATACAACATTCTTTGTGAATGGACTACCTCTTACTAATGAATATAGATAACTACAAATAAGAAATAAAACTATAGAGAAACAATCATCCATTATTCATAACAGTCCCCTCAGATGTTTTTCCAGGATACGTCTCGTTAAAACCTTAATAGAAAAAATCCAGTGGAAAAAAATCTAGTGAAGGAAAAAGAGTACAATGTCCTTTTAAGAAAAATTTATTTCTCCCCCTCAGCTGAACGATCATTTCTTCTACGATGAATGCCAATCTTTTGCACTAAAAGGTCTATAACATTATCACATGGAAAAATTTGTTGGAGCTTATATCACCACTTTTCTAAAGATCATGAGTGAAAAAACACATTGGAGAAATGTGTTTTATTTTATCTCCTTAAATATAACCATCTTTCAATTAAGCAATGCATGCAGTATTCTCTTCATGTATGATTTTTCTTTTTTTTTCCTTCCAAAATTCAAACCACAAGCCTTT